AAAGACCAAAACAAGTACACAAAACGTGATTTTCAGTAAATGTCTCTTACCATGGTAAATTTGCAAAACTCGTTCAGGAGCAGATACAACAGGAAGTGAAAATCAAAGGACATCTCCATAATTTGGTTTACTCCAAACTGGGAAACGTAACTGCGAACTGCATCCAAGCTCTAAACGCCAGTCAGCCTTACATCCGATCAATGAGTTTATAGGCCCTTAACCTGAGCATGTAAAGCCATGCGGTTTTCAACTGCAAAAGGCTCAAACTGAGTTCCAGCGAAAAACGAAAACAACGGCTCCTTGGGCATCCCGGCTGGTATGTCCACCACCAAATATTCGACAGGCAACGGTCGGCCAATTTTCAGCACTTCGTTTTTGTATTCGTCCGTCTTCTATAAAAAAAAAAGTTTTATATACAAATGATGATGACAGGATGAGTGATGGTATTGATGGGGTTGGCTACAACGAGGATTATGATAGGGCGATAATAAATATTATGGAATTGATGACGATGAATACAGAATAATGATGGTGGTGTTGATGATTGCTATGATGATGGAAATGACGATGATAATGACAGATACGATGGTGATGAATGCAATGAGACGACGACGATTACGACTGTTATGTGAATGATGAAAATAATGAAAAAAACGGCTGCTGGCGACGATGATCGTAGCAGGAAAGTACGGTGAGGCCTCCTATGCTTAAGCATGGAATGACAGGAACGATCGTATAGACAGAAAAATCATGCATCGAAGAGAGTAAAATCAATGGGACAGAGAAAAACACATAATATATAGCATACCTCTTATACATCGTTATTCATATTTCTTAAATGTGGGACATAAAATATCGTATGTAATGACTGTTTACAGTGCGATTCTCATTATCGATGTTATGGAGATATGTAAGCGGTTAACTACATGAATGTTCACAACTGTGCGTACACACCGTAGAGAACAACTTATTTTAAACAAGTACGACAATTTACATGCCACTGCTCTGATAAACAAGACAATACAGTAATGACCATGCTGCTGCATAATACATTATATTACCATTACCTAATATCTAATATCAATATTTATGCCATATCCAAAATATCTCTGCGTAGTCACAGACATGTCTTCAAAACTAAGAACGAATCCAATGTGATGTTAAATCAATCAGTTTATCCACAAATTCCAAACAACGTAACTACTTCTTGTTTACATTTCACAGTTTCTTGTCCTTGAATCCCATATAACAAAAAAATCCTTCACTGAGCCTGATGACTGACTATGCTAGTGTCATCTGAAAGAGCGGTCAATTATTAAAATCGCTCTGTTTATTTCTGAGCCTCCATAAGTGCCTTAGAAAGTTTACGATTGTTGGTAACATCTTTCAATTAATGAGTTAATTCTCCGGATCTGTGTGGCGCTATCGTACTACCTTCGTGCTTCCAGTGACCTAGGAAACTGCATATTAAGCAAGCCGCAGCATCATGGTTTTAGAGTACCTGCAGTGCATGAATGAAAAACTGTATTAGTGTGATGTATAAAAAAAGAATTCAAATACAGTCAGTATACCTCGATAAGTGGGCATATAGATAGACACAAATACCAAAGATGTTTCAGCTTTGTTGGCAAATAACCTGAACTATTGTGACTAAGGCAGAGATTAGTCTGAAGTATCTATGCTCAAATTGATATTCAACCCGGTGCTCGCCTCATAAGCCATGCCTTAAAAACTATTATCCCGGGTACAAACGGCTGAAATGGACTTTCAGTATATATCTGACAAATCCTTGGTTTACAATCCTGCTTCTTTAGATTGAGGAGTCACCGCCACAAGGACTTGAGCACGTTTTGCGAATGCTTAAAGAAACGAAGGCGAAACAGCCATTACTTGCTCAACCAACCGAGTAAAAACACGGGGGACGGCCAAGAATGACCTGCAACAATTGTCTCGAATGAGTTTTACACAGAAACGAGTTATCATATTACGAAGCTCCAATAATGGCACAGGATTAGTAATATGGAGAGACTGTCTGACGCGTGTGCCTCCGCGACCTGAACTGATAAAAGGTCATCGAAACAGACTGCTTAGCACTTAACTTCCTAGTCGCTAAAATTTTCACAGGGATCACTCTACGAATGAAGAACCTTCCAACCGCACAATAAATTCATATTACCAATTTAATACAAAACTTTTAAGAGCATTGATTGATACAATCAACAAGAAATAATAAGCGTATTTATTACCTTGTAATATACGTCAGGTACGTACTGCAAGCTGGACGATTCTTTGACATACGCTAGCTCAGGGGCGTCCATCGTTGGAAACAGGCAATTGGCATCCACCAATGAGGCGCACAGATTTGACACCTGATAGCCGAAGAAATGCACTTGGTGATCCTCGCCACCTGAATAGAAACAGCATATATGGTGTATGCAGGACTACTGAAGACATTTGGAGTAAACCACATGCTCAGAAAAACATATCCCTTACATTAGGTACTTACTTTTCTCTGGATTTTCATTTCTCAACCTTTCCAGACATTTCTCCATGCCAAGCAGCAAGACTCACGGGCCTGATTTAAGGTAAAAGATACAGTAGATCGTGGTTGTTTGCGGAGGTCGCCTGTAGGAGATGGATTCTTTGGAACCGAAAGGAAGCACCCGGTTCTGCTGCCGGTTATGCAGTCTTTTGACAACAGGCTCAATGTGCCTCATCAAATCTGAATATTTTTCATATGGTTGAAACTGTCGCAGGACTTGATGATTAATGCGACCTTGGCGCGACTATTCTGCCAATATCTTTTTTGGCGATGCCGGTGCAATCTAAACATTGGGCCGTGTCCCTGTCACATGAATGTACAATTTCGTATGTCTTTACACGCTACATCTATAACTGATGTTGGGGAAGAGGACTTAAGTGACAGCGCGAGTCTAAAGCTCGACTCTCGACTTTAAACGAACTGCCTAATGTAAATACATTAAATACATTCCACAGCAACCGAAAACTAACATTTGCACTACGTCGAAGAACGCTCATGAGATACTGCCTGAAACAATGGGTATAGATGTATGACTCGGCATAATATCATCTTGCGTTGCACATAGCCAACCCATTTTTGCCTTGTTATTTTCAGCAATCGCAGCAGACAGAAAAGAGATTTTCACGGTAATTTCCTGCCTTGGAAAAAATTCGGTACTTTGGTCAGACACCTCAACTACACTGGCGCGGGAATCAGTCCTGCCTTTAGCATACTTATTGAGGACAACATTTCAATACAAGCTTAACAGAAATATGTACAACAGGAATCACAGCAACAAGCTGCAGTGGGTAGTGGTTGCCAACGATTCACTGATATACAGTATGCTGTGTGCATATTCAATCTCATCGGGACTGGGAATGTGCAATGCAACTTCTTCCTACTTTTATTCCTCTACACCTGATTAAGCCAGTTCCAAAACCCATCAAGTAACTCATCCGTGGAGCTCGGTGAAAAGAGAAATTCTGTAACCTCTACATGAATTAAAGGTTCGAATCTAGTCCTCCTGGCTTATTTGGGATGATGATCCTATGTTAGATTGATACGTAAGATTGGCAACTAACTTAAGGACCAGGGATATTCTTATTTATCCACGAGTACTGTCAAACAGACGAAAAACACAATATCACAACGAACAAGTGGATATCATACCAGAAACGATAACAGTGACGAATTTGGACCCAAAGTATGCGTCAGGTGAGTATTTACACACGTTCGGGTAGCGATTCTGCAAATAACCGGCGGTTATGCATTCTTCAGCGCTGATCAAATACGTGTCCTTAAGAAAAATACTTTGTGCACGACTACCTGAAAATCATGGGATCGTCCAATACTTACGGCGTGCCTAGTGTGTTTCACGGAGCCGTTGCCTTTTGGCTCGGCTACCAAATCCGTGAATATCCAGCCGATCCGTCGGATCTCTAGCGCTTTGCATAGGGCGTCCACCTGCTGTTCGGTCGCGTCATCTTCCAACTGGACAAAGTTTTCACCGGACATCTGAGGCGGTTCGTAGATAGCCGAAACCACGGCCCTGATGCCCAGCGGCACGTCGTAATACGGTTCGTAACGACCTAACAAGTAACCAACCCGCTGCTGGCCACATTGTCGCCAGTAGTCCAAAAACCGATTGACCAGAAACTCGTTTTCAAACGAAATGTTGTCCACGTGGCGGTATCGCTTAACAGAAACCGAGCATGATTACAGTCCAAAATAGAAAAAAGCAAAATACTACCAATTAAGGCAGACTTCCAAGACAGTGAACATACATCAAGAACGTGATTCTAATCCTAATTTATGGAAACAACGTCAGTCTTAAGCATCACTGGGCTGTCAAATTACACACGTACTCAAATAAGGAATTCAACAGGTTAGCATAAGTTGCAAGAACAATAATCTTCCCTGACGGGTTTAAAAAGCCGGTAAGCTCATATGGAACACGAAGCCTGCATACAAAGCATCAGCCATTTCATGTAAACGCAGGAGCATTAATAAAAAGAAAACCTGCTCACAGCAACGGCTAATGATTATCTGATCTGCGACAATCATGGAAATCTTGGAGTAGATGACTCAGTCATTAAAACGCCGGAGTCGGAAGTGAAAGACTCTAGGTATGAATCCTTACTGACCTTTCGAAATTGGAGTTGTTAAGTAATACTGTCTGGGAAGGAGTAAAAATTTATGCGATACATTGCCTACAAAACGATAAAGCAGAAGTGGTCAATGCTATCGAAACGGATACCATCTGCAAGCCATAAGGTCTCTGAAAGAAGGATGTCACAGACATTGCCTATTTTGGACATGCAGGAAAAGAGATATTTAAACGCAATAAATTTTTTTCTTTATTCTCAAATGTTGAGGCGTTTTTGACATACTGGTCTATATGTTGCTGACTGAACTGTCATAAACCAAAGGTTGGGCTTAGAACTAAATATCTCGCGAAGTTTGCTTGGTAGAGAAACCTGTTTCAGCGTCCTAAAAACTAGTAGCCATACGGAGAAGGCAATGCATCACGTGAAAGTTGATTTCATATCAAATATGTAAGCAAAAAATAGTGGCGTCAGAGATGGCTGAACTAATTTCTTTTTACATCCTATTTGGGTGGGTTTCAGAGAGAGCTAATTGACGCACGCTTGGCAGGGTCGGGATTTACGGTGACTGTGGCAGTTTTATTATTATTCGAATCCTGCCCTGTGAATAATGATTAGAGCATATGCATTTCACGATACGTCCGCTGAACGGAATGGCAAAACAAGGAGGAAGTTTTCTTGTCTGTTATTTTAGCAATGCAAATAACGCAAAAAAAACAAATGAGTAACCCTAGAGCAAACGTTTTTACCTATATTAGATACAGAAGGACTTCTCCCACATGAGACTCTGATCCGTTGCATAGAGGAAAAAACTGTCAAAGAAGAGGTGCGTGTATCGAGGCTCACCGAAAAAACTCAGAGCAGACCAAAATTCACAGTCATCATTTGAAATCCCGTTCGACCTGGGTGAAGAGTAAACGGACTCCCTGTCAAGACATCTATCAAACGTGGACAATAGTCAAAACCATATGCCAAGATCTAACGAAATGGAAAGCCAAACAAATATGGCCCCAGTTCCATGCGTGTAGCCTGACTCGAACTATGGCAGAGTAGATCGCGCGACTGACGGTTTACCGATGGAGTTCAACAGTCATAGATTATTATCCATTTAGAAGGCTTCAACTCAGATTGGATGATTAGCTAAATGACAAATATGGAACCCTGCGATGAAAGATCGCATAAGACAGACGAACGTGGGCATAGAGACTGGGGAACTATGATCTTCGTTAATTAAGAAGGAGCGTCCGTTAATCATTGCTGCGGTTGTCAATATAGAGAAGGTATGGCTTACAATCTCAAAAGGTTCAAAGAGTTCAAGGACAAAATTCTTTTTCAAATATTACGTAATCTCTATAAGGGTGAATACACCGTGCACTGTTTGACACACAATTCTCGTCCCTGCCCAAGAGATTGCTAATTCATACATCGCGGAGAGCAAAGAACGACCGTAGTAATAATGAGTCTCTTGAGAGAACTGCACGCTCTTTAAATATGAAGTGGTGGTAGAAACTGTTCAGCGAGCTCAAAAGCAAACCAGGCAACTACGTAGGCTACAGTACCCTGGAAATGACAGAACTCTTTATACCGGCAATGCATGCCTGTTTCTATCTGAAAGGCATCTAAATGCTGCAAACTTTAGTACAACGAGTCTGGAATAACAACAAGCATCATCCGCTTCAATTTATAACGAAAGTATGGCGAAACTGTTCGGCCACTCTGTCTTCTGGTCTAATCAAAGACACTGATTACTTCTGTTCAGCTTGCATAGTATGCATATTTGTTTTTCTCTACTGTCCTACGCTATTCATTCAGTGACGTCTAACTCTTCCGTTCAGCATCAGATAAAGAACACAAAGAATGGCAAAAATTATTTTTTCACGTTCTTTCAGGGACCTGAAGGAACGGTACTTTGGAAAGGATAGATTGACAGGGACCCTTCGTTTAAATTAAAAATCAGAAAGTTTTGCAGGCCTAGGAAATTTGCAGACGGTTTCGCGGTTCAAGACCAGGTTTCGGCTGCCGTAACAGTTACAGATAAAACGTTTCACACTATTTCGCCGTGACATGAGACCGGTGTACTATTAACGTTGCCATTGACAGCAGTTTTGGTGCCTTCATGAATTACATACTAATCATCGCATACCTGCATAGTTCACAACATGGACAAGTAAATACTTTTTCAAAAACATTAGCATATGCATCATGATTCTGGAAGTTAATTAAAGAATACTTATGTCTAACAGTATAAGGTTAATTTTCATAACAAAAATGGCCCTCGACGACTTCAAATGCCGCTCCGAAAATCAACAAAGCACAACTTTATCACTCAGTCCTACCTGAAGGTTCAACGTAATAGCTGCGTCTGGCTGGCATTTGGAGCAGATTCCCTCAGGCCAAGGCGGATGCAGGACACAACCAGGTTTAATTTTGCACACAGCCTTCTCAAGCGGGCACGTGGTTGTCGTAGATTTGCCTCTGAACAAAGGTCATTTCTAATGTTTAAGATGATGCAAAAATCTTTTTTTACTTGGCGCCCCCTAAGATCTTTCGCAGATATGAATGAAACGACATATGTTTGATTTCCTTTTTGTTCAGATAATCCTCGTCGTACGGCTGCAACAGGAAAAGATGCGATAGAAACAACGAAATTCACGTGTTGTGGTGGACACCCAATCAAAAGTACGCAATGACAAATGCACGTTAAAAGATTTTAATTTTTGAAATAAATCATTATATAAGCAAATAGAAAATATTTCGGTCTAAGCAGGCACAAGTGATTGGTGTGCACAGGTTTCAACCCTGTTGCAGCATCACGAACTCTTAACATCCTGAAAGAATGGTGATTGCGTCGGCTGCGGCACGCACTAACACGTCCACCAGAAGAAATAACCTTCATTATACTGAGCATCACCCTGTTTCCTGAATGGCATTGGAGGGGGTCAACTAAAGACTCATAAGACACCATCAGAGCTGACGTTGATGTCTCTTCTACGTCGGTAGTGTACAGATAAAAATGGTGGAAGAATAACTGACTGAATATTTGAGGATGTCCGCGTGATCAACCGATGGAAAGCAGCAATACGGGAGTGGCGTTACTGCAGCTGTCTATATTAGTTATGGTGACAGTCATTACAACTACAACAAAAACATGCTTCCACGTTTATGTAACCAATTTACATTATGTACTTATGTTTAAAATTTATGTTCTGCGCTAAACTTTGTCTTAAACTTGCACATATTAAATTTCGAACGTCACTGCTCTATGTAACCTGATCATGGAAAACGGGCGAAACCTGACGTACTTACGTTCTGTCACCTCTCCGTGTTTACACCACATAGTTGCCCTGCCCTCATGCTTTTAGTAGCCTAGCAGATCGCTTAAACAGGACATGGCTAAAAGCTACTTTTGCGCCTGCAGCGCATGGACACAAAACAGTACCATTTTCTTGGGTCAAACGAAAATGGATAATTTTTATGCGTTGGTACATATAATAAACAAATAACTCGATAAATAATAAATATTTGTTAATTGTATTTGTGAAGACCGAAACAGATTTGCTTACTTAGTGATTTGTCTCAAAAATTAAAAATGGATTCACGTACATGCATTTGTCAGCGCGTTTTCACTGCGTGTTTTCGACGGGGCACCCTTATGATGTTAACTTACATCTATCGGCAAACAGTTGCGACACTTCGACGACGCGTTGTGGTGACATCTGAAAGCGAAACGGTTAAATTCGTCAAACCGTAAAATCCAACAAACAGCTTTACAAAGAAGGATCTCTGTCACGGGAAATTAAGCCGTCTTGCTTTTCCAAGAAAACGTCAATTTCATCCTCTTCCACATTGCCAGATGGAGGTTTTACGGTCTGTGGCTTCAGCGACGAGGAGGCGCTCTGGTCGGCAGAAGCGATCGAGGCTGTCGAGTCATCGTATATGGCGTATAGCATGTCCCCATGCCTAGAAAGTCGTTACGTCGAAAGAAGCGTGTGAACGATTTTACGCTGCGCACTTGATTCCCAAAGAGGCCAGGCTTTTCTTCGACACATCGATTACTCGTTTTCTTGATCTATCAGAATACAACCTTAACGTTGATTGCGGTACGCCGAGTTCAGACGCGGCCTAGAATTGCGAATATAAAACGACGTCCGAAGTATAAAAGCATATAACTGAAGTAAATGCTTTCCACAAAAAAACCATCAAGTCAACTTTAGTCAAAATACAATGAAGTGAAATGGTATAGTTAATACACCGTACACCATTCCATTATGCACCAGCGAAAGTAACAGCATAGCACATATCATAACACAGTACTACGTACCTTAGGTATCAAACAGTAGTACAAGTTATAAACAATTTGCTGTAGACAAGTTACAATAGAGCATCCTGGCAGAAACCCTGTACGGCATATACCAAATTCTCCACAGCATCGACAAAGCTCTCAGTAATCAATCTGTGAGGCGCAGGAAGTGGGTAGTAACGAAAGCACATAATCACAGTATAGAAAAAAGTAGGTGGCATGAATATTCTTCTGCTGCGATGGCAGTCATGAAGGCTGGGCACGACGAAATAGCAATAACTAGCGTTGACAGTGATCATATTTCTTTAAAGAATGTGTGCCTAACAGAAAGACGTCGATTGGAATCTCAATGGAAGCACTGGGAGTCAACTATCGCATGAATTCTAGGATAATGAAATTACTTACATTTGTTACGCATCCTGCATACTAAAATAGTGCAGCAAACATAATATATCGCAATACAACATGGCGTTGAACAATCATATGATGCACTAGATATTATATTTGGTACAGAGCATTATTTTGCACTACGCACAGCAACTGTGTAGTACACTAAGCACAATATACAGTATGCAATAGTTAATACTATCATAGGACATTTTAAATAGTACAACTAGTGCATTACGCCATCATGCACCATACATTCTACAACGCGACACCGTACATAACAGCAAAGTATACTAATTATAATATACAGAACATAACAGTGCAGTATGCCAAGTATTGGCCAGTCACTGGACTAACCACAATGTCATTTGCGCTACGTATAAGTAAACCGCGTTTTACGCTATTTTTTTAGAATAACCACTCACGCATGAACGAATTACTCTATCTTCGGATACATCCGACAGAGTTACATCTCGCTTACCTCCTCACTGTTTAGGCAACTGGAAGAAGATGCTACGTTACTCCAAACGTAAGAACAACCTAATCTTTCTTATCAGATGCCGACACCTCGACCTGACTCCCAACTTTCTCCGGATACAGATGCCCTTCGAAATTTTCAACAAAAAATCCCGTGCACTTAAAACCATGTAAAGAATGCTGCCGAGACAACATACCATAGATACAAGGAAACAACTGCAATTTATCCTCCAAGAAATTAAGTTAATCAATCGAATGATGCAGAGGACAGTCTCCATCGAAGTCTAAGCAACCAATTACATGATCTCTACAGCCATGACTACAATTTCTTCATACAGGACGGTGTGGTACACGTAAAGAAACTAAAGAAACTAAGACTTTTGTTAGTAAATACCCAAAGAGTCTCTCCGCTAGCAGTAATGATAAGATTGCAATTAACTATACGCAAGGTCAAACTTATTTAAGACCAGATAAATGCTTAAATAAAGGCTTAAACTATAGTGTAACTAATAAATCATTTTACCTACTTGAAACTGTTCAAGTGCTGCTCAGTAAACGTAATATGAACAATAATAAAACCCTTCATAGAAGACGTTAAACTCCTGGTAACTCAAAATATATCGCTTGCGCCTAACATGACCGTAACACAACTGAAAGCCATTAAATTGCTAAAAGTAAACAGTAGCATTATAATTAAAAAAAGCAGATAAAGGCAACACCATTCGGTCTGATATGAGTCTCGAGGGAACATCAGATGTCGCATACGGGTCCACAGGTTGCGGGTAGTGGGTCAACCCTCAGATATGAAAGTTAGCTGCAAAATAAGCAGAGAAACCGACGAATAAGCAGTCGCGGACAACATGACAGTGCTACGAGGGTGGGCTAGCCGACCTTCGGCAAAGCTGGCTCTAGAAAATACCGCAAAACCCGATGACAGCGCGGTGATATGGCGAGTACATGCCGCCATCAAATAAGCATGTTGCTTACCCCAACGCCCAAACGAGCCGTAGCCGGTTCCCAGCCCGGTTGAGAAAGATAGGTTGGCGTCAAGCAGGAAGCCGGCCTTCAAAAACAATGCCAACGCCAAATATGACGAGTCGACTTACTTCTAGAAAGAATTCTAGGGCGTTCCCCAAGGTAATGTTTAGCAGCAAATTCCGGGGGCTGTGAGAAATGAGCAACGGTATCAGCCATTGCGATGATGGCACCCGCAACGGGAGCGATTGACATGGCGAACACAATGTGAGAAAATGTGAGTAGCCACTTGGAACACTGGAATAATGACGGGAAAGGGCGAGGGGCTAACGGAGGCTCTTCAGAGAAGAAAATTTAAGATCGCTTGCATTCAGGAGAC